ATTCTTGTGTTGATAGCTATACAGGCTATTTAAGGTCTTGATAACAAATAAACTCTCATCCTGACAACAACAAAACATCTCAAATTTGAAAATAACTCACTTACAGTAATTTTAACCTGGTGTGCACTTTGGACACATCTTGGTTTTCTTGGATTCCTGACCATCAGAACACTTTTTAATTGACTTGAATGAATTTCATCAAAATAAAGTAGCCCTACAAATGAGATGGATATTTAATTATTTCAGGCCAATGCAGGTGCTGACGGCTATCTTGGATGGCAAAATGGCAGCCATTTTTCTATATTATCTTGTATTTGTAAAGTAATACTAAGTGATACTTGATCGTGCATTTATAAATATCTACCCTCAAATACACGTAACTATTTTTAATTCTAAACAGTGACTCAAATTTGAATAGTATAGAGTACCGAAGCTGTGACATTATACAAATCGTTTTGGGAATTTCTTAATTTTTTCTTCATTTTAATGTTATGAACCAGAACAATATAACCTATTTCCTATAGGAAATCTATTCAGATGATCATGTTATAGCCCATACTTATTCAATTGGTTCTCGACATTGGGACATTATTTTCGATGCTCTCTCAGAAAATAAAGACAAAATTGAGAAATTCCAAGGATGTATAATGTATATGTCTCAGTGGCCATCTAGGATTCCTAAATGGCTGCCACTGTAGTAAATATCTCGAATATAAAACTTCTCAAATAATTTGTAGCACTTTTACGGATATCATTGATTTCATAATTCTTTGGAATGTGATTTAAAATATATTATTTTCTATAATGTAAATAGTCACTTCCGGTCGTTTTCGGGAAAATGGTGAGTCATTTCGATGGTTATAATGACAACAAAAATGATAATCATCATAGTAGTAATGAAAATGATAACAATAATGATAACAATACCAATTATAAAGATAATGATAATAAAATAATCAGGCGCGGGTCCAGGATTTCTTAGGGGGGCCCAAATTAAAAATAAATTTCAAATTTAGTGTGCTGAAATTCGAAAATCCCGCCGGCCAATGTTTCGCTCAGTGGGGGTGGGGGGAGGGGTGAGGGGGGGGGGGGGGGGGGGTAGTGAGCACTAATTTTGTTATTTTTTTTTGCTCCCGAAAATTTGAAAATCGGGCCGTGGGGAAGGGGGTAGTGAGTACTTTTTTTGGGGGGGGCCTCGAAAATTTGAAAAATCGCACCCCTCCCCTTTAGCGCCAAGGGGGGCCATCTCCAAAAAAAAGGTTTAATTAAAAAAAGTTAAATTACACGGGTTTTTTTCCCGGGGGGGCCAGCCCCCGGCCCCCCTCCCCCCCCCCCCCCCTTCATCCGCCACTGATAATAATAATGATAATAACAATCGTAATAATAGTAATAACAATGATGAAATAATTATAACAATAATAGTAATAGTGATAATAATAATAATAATGGTAATAGACTTGGGTATATGGACCAAATTATACAATATGTGTTGTAATCAACCTCCTGCGTATGAAAAGTAAACGTTGTCTGAATAAGAAATGGAAGCTGACCCTTGTCTGTAAGTTCTATTGAATTCATTCGAATTAGACCTTGGCCCGGGTCTGAAATCACCATTTACAAAAGGAAAAACTAGAACTCACACAAATGCTTTTCTTTTTCAATATTTTTTGCCCTCAAGCAAATTTTAGTAGAATAGAATCTCTTATCACTTTAGTCACGTTCCATTCTTTAAAAAAAAAATAAGGATTCAGAACAGTGCTTTTTTAGTTAACAAATTTTACTTTGAAATTATACACACGCTCACACTGTATCCCAACATGAAGTATAAATGGTAAAGCAAGGTCTTATAAACCAATCTACTCCTCAATAATAAAGTCAAGTTCTTTATCAGATTGTGCATTGACAAAAAACTCCGACTGGAAAAGGCACAAATGTAGTGATGTACTACAATAAGCAAAAACAATGATGAACAAGTAAAACAACAATTAAAACAAATTAATAAACGAACAAATAATAGATTTTAAAAATACGAAACAATATAAAACTTAAGAGAGGGCATAGTCAGAGGCTTAATATTATTATCAGTATTGTTATTATTATCATCATCATTATCAGTATTATTGTAATTATTCTTCTAATTAGTACCATTATTATTTGTCCTTGTTGTTGTTCTATTTATCCTTATTTTTCTCGTTCTTCTTTAATTTAATGTACATGTATTATTGAAATATTAATGTGTTAGTAAAAGTTCTAAAAGTTCTAAATGTACCATTTCGACGGAATATAGGCTTTATCGACAATTATAATGAATGAATTACACCAGAGAACTTTAGATTACCTCATTTAAATAGCGACATATCATTATGTTCCTGTGTATGGATTAGCTCCGTTGTTATTATGTTCTTGCGTTCTTTAGAATAAATGCAAATGTTCAGATATAAAGAAGGTTTGAACCATGCTCCACTAAATAGTAATATCAATTACATCCATGTTTTTTGTAGAAAAACTGATTAACCTGTGCTCGGACCTACTTTATTTGTCACAAGCATGTCATTTTGTAAGCACAACCGGAGTTAAAAGTTTTCAAAACTTCCTATTTAATGTTCTTCTTTCTTAATTGATGAAATCGTTGTCCCATTAATTATTGTTGCCTCGCGGGTAGCCTCTTGCATGTTTGAAGATATGTCCTGCTGTTTGATAGTGTGATAAATTATTCTTGTCTAGTGGAAAGAAGATTTTCAATCGAAAAAATGTTTCAGCAAGAAAGCCGTCTAAAGGAAATAAGCTACCTGCTTCTTCTTTTTTTCACGTAATACAGACGGGATTCAAAACTACAACGCGAAATTTCCAACAAGTTCTGTCAATTGCCAATAAAGATAAATAAACCACTTACTCGCCCGAATTCGAAGGAGAGCTTACGTTGTCCGTTTTTGCATGATACTTTTAATACATTGTTTAAAAAACACTTTTCTCAAACTTGACTTTTATAATAATGTCAGGACAAATAATCTCACCTGCATCGTCTGGGATGATGAGAACAACACAGATCAGCGTAGCGATCATCAGCCGAATCATTTTGACTGTTCCTGTTCGATCGTTGGGCTTTTTAGATAAGATTTCTTTTTAGCATATCTTCTTAACACACTTGGTAAGGGGTAAGAATCAATTGAAGTGGCTTTTTGAAGACAGTTGTATGAACTGAGACGATCCTATGACGAACGTTGTTTACGATTATTGAGAGAATTTTTTTTGTCGATGGATTAACTTCCAAATGATAACTGACGTCTTCACGTTCTAGGGTTTGGCTTAGACTAACAAAAACCAGACAACGCCTTTCAGTTAAATCACTATACCGTTCGAGTGCAGTACATGACTAACTTTGGCTATTGCTCCATTTCGCTCTATTACATTCAGTTCACGACCACATGCGCTGCTGTAGTACAGAGGCGGGGAGGCCGGGGGCGTATGTCACAATGCCCCCCCCCCCCCCCGAACTTTTTCAAGTACCCGAAAGGGGTTCTTTTTACATAGGAAAGGTGCCAATTTTTACTTGAGATAAGTGCCCCTTTTTATTTATCATCCTAACACACTTCGTAAGGTCAATTAAGTGGCTCTTTGAAGTCAGTTATTACAATTAAAACGATCCTATGAAGAACGTAGTGCACGAATTTTAAGAGATTTTTTTTTTTCTCGATAGGTTTATACTTTTTTATACTACATAGTTTTGCTATTTTTTTTTTTAATACAACAAAACTTCACAAACCTGTGAGGGTGTATTCACTTCCGTCACATTCGCCCATCTCACTATGCTCCCTCGTCCCTCGCTTTTCGCCCCCCCCCCCCTACGGCATGAAAACAAATCGCCGCCCCTGATTACAGGTATCAAATATCAGGCAAGTATAATCTCTACATCATAACAGAACGTGAGTTTAACATCGCATATCACATAATGTGGGGGCAAAGCTTTCTCAAATAGTGCACAAAAATTATGCGAGGAGCGGCGTTTTCGCTAGCAAAATACAGGAGTTTCGGGGGTCTGTCTTCCCTGGACACCACGCCTTAAGACGCTGCGCTCTAAGTGGACCCAGAACAATATGTTTCAGCTCTACTCCACCTCCCCCCCCCCCCCCCCCCCATCAGAAAAATCCTGATGGCTGACAGTGGATACGTCATTACTATTGTAATGCATTTGTAAGCTATATCTCACAGTTCACTGCTTATACAGGTTAGTCAACAAATAACTAAATCAGGTGTGTCCTAATGGTACTGATTGATTGGTACTATTTCCGGCCGTTTGTCCGTCAACTTAAAAGCCTTACTGCATTACTTATAGCGACTTGCGCCCTCTATTTAGCAAGCAGTGTCTAGTCGGTGTCTATTGGTCCCCCATAATCCCCTTTTGACTATGTTAATTGAGAGCTGAATTGATGAGGTTTGAACCATGCTCCACTAAATAGTAATATCAATTACATCCATGTTTTTTGTAGAAAAACTGATTAACCTGTGCTCGGACCTACTTTATTTGTCACAAGCATGTCATTTTGTAAGCACAACCGGAGTTAAAAGTTTTCAAAACTTCCTATTTAATGTTCTTCTTTCTTAATTGATGAAATCGTTGTCCCATTAATTATTGTTGCCTCGCGGGTAGCCTCTTGCATGTTTGAAGATATGTCCTGCTGTTTGATAGTGTGATAAATTATTCTTGTCTAGTGGAAAGAAGATTTTCAATCGAAAAAGTGTTTCAGCAAGAAAGCCGTCTAAAGGAAATAAGCTACCTGCTTCTTCTTTTTTTCACGTAATACAGACGGGATTCAAAACTACAACGCGAAATTTCCAACAAGTTCTGTCAATTGCCAATAAAGATAAATAAACCACTTACTCGCCCGAATTCGAAGGAGAGCTTACGTTGTCCGTTTTTGCATGATACTTTTAATACATTGTTTAAAAAACACTTTTCTCAAACTTGACTTTTATAATAATGTCAGGACAAATAATCTCACCTGCATCGTCTGGGATGATGAGAACAACACAGATCAGCGTAGCGATCATCAGCCGAATCATTTTGACTGTTCCTGTTCGATCGTTGGGCTTTTTAGATAAGATTTCTTGTTAGCATATCTTCTTAACACACTTGGTAAGGGGTAAGAATCAATTGAAGTGGCTTTTTGAAGACAGTTGTATGAACTGAGACGATCCTATGACGAACGTTGTTTACGATTATTGAGAGAATTTTTTTTTGTGGATACGTCATTACTATTGTAATGCATTTGTAAGCCATATCTCACAGTTCACTGCTTATACAGGTTAGTCAACAAATAACTAAATCAGTGGTGCCCTAATGGTACTGATTGATTTGTACCATTTTCGGCCGTTTGTCCTTCACCTTTAAAGCCTCACTGCATTACTTATAGCGACTTGCGCCCTCTATTTAGCAAGCAGTGCCTAGTTGATGTCTATTGGTCCCCCATAATCCCCTTTTTAGTATGTTAATTGAGAGCTGAATTGATGAGGTAACCACCTGTCAGTGACCTTGCAGGGAGGTCTAACCCCTCCTCCCTGCCAATCTAGTACAGACGGGCTTTAATGAGTATCTATAGCACTATCTTGCAATACAAAACAAAATCTACCAAACAATGTACTCCGCCCACATACAAATGTATGCGAGTCGAGTTATAAGGAAAATGGCCTAACTCGTAAAAAATTGCGACACCTTTCTGAAGTGTTTGACGTTTGAAATTTTATGCTAAAAGTATACGAAAATCAGACCTCCAGAAAGTGTATAAATAGTTAAAATGTCGTCTAAGATGGCCATCAGAAGGCTTACATAAAAATAGCCATAAATCTGGAAATATCCACCCTTACCTAAAATATGTTATGGCCTTTAGAAATCCTGGAATTCCAAATGCCCCTAATTTCCTTAAAAGTAAGAGAGTTTTTTTTCAAACAAATGTACTTATCAAAAGTAAATGTAAATTTTGTCATATTGTAGCAATCCGAGATACAATATGGAACATTGTAGGACCAGGCGCGTACGCAGAGGGGGGGGGGGGGGGGAGGGGGGGTTAAACCCCCTTGAGTATTTTTTATGTGTATGTTTTATGTATGTTTTTTTGAAATCCCCCCCCCCCCTTTGAGTTATGCCAATGGCTGATGGCTGACCCCAAAAAGGTGACCTCCCCCCCCCCCCCCCCCAACAGAACAAAATGTCAAATTTTCAAATTTCGAGACCCCCCAAAAAAAGTGTGCTCTTACCCCCCCCCCCCCCCCCCCCCTGAAAAATCAATAATTATTATTACCAATAATAATTGCATTGAAGTTGAAAGTTTTCATTGATAGATGAAAGTCTAAGACAAATATATACACCCCAAATCCCACTATGTTGGCTATCTTGTTTTTATCGTATCTTTAAAATTATGTGAATCTTAATTTCCTCAAAACGACTGGCTCGTGCGTCTATAGCTGATTATGCACACAGTTTATAAGTTGCACACACGTACGTACTTCGATTCGAACAATATTTATAAGTCTCAAGATTTTAAGATTTTAAGATTTATTCATAAAAATCATGAGCAATAACAAGAAAGTTATAAAAACATTGAACATGTCGGAAAAAAAATGGTCTGTGAAGAAAAACAGCTTGTTATTAACACAGATCAACAACAAAAACGATTTTAAAAGAAGTACATCAATAATAAAATAGAATCGAAATAGAAATAGCAAATGCAAAATAATGATGATAGAATAGTAAAGAATAGGGGAAGGTGGATACATTTACAATACAGGAGGGGGTCTATATTTGTGATCTTTCCTGATTTGGTGTTTGCAATTTTGTCTTGAACCCTTCACACCGTGTAATATTATGTTCATGGGTACTTATTCTGAAAGTGCTTGTTCATTCTTGCAAAATATCCAATATCAAATGTGAATTTTGGTAGGTGAATTTCCTTGGTACGTTGAGCTGATACGGCACTACTCACACCGCATCTTAACAGACCAATCCCACCGACATTGATTATGACTTAAAACATATCAGCGAATCAGAAGACCGGAAATATTAGTAATTTTCAAACCTGTTTGGGAAGAAAAAAATTGCGGGCCGGTAGGTAATACATAATTAGGTTTTCAGTTGCTGGTCAATTTGTGTTTGGCTCGTTGGTGTCGGCGAAATCTAGTTCCAGTTTGGTTGGAGCTATCAAATTTGTGAGAGGCTTGCTGTATATTTGACCACAATAGATACGATTGTTATTGACACGACTAGGCTCAACTGAGTTGAATTATGGGTAGTACCTGGATTCACATTTACCATCAAAACGACCTCCTTTTACCCTTTGTACATGTACATAATACCTGATGACGTAAAACAGAATCGATAAAACAAATGTAAGAACATCTCGTCATATACCTCATTCCTAAAACAACAGATTATGTCATCACTAATTTCATAATAGGACCAATTCATTCAGATCGAAGGATAAGAACAGGGCGTGAACCATAACAGCAGTAACGTTAAACGAGATACCAAACTAAGAATTGTAGCGCCGGGAAAGGAGGGGGACGGGGCTGAGGAGAGGAGCTATCTTCCTTTTAAAAACAAATCAAGACAAGTCCCCTTCCTGCTACAAATAAAAAAGGTTTCTGTGTGAACAAATTCCACGCATGTGATACAGATAGAACAAAGGCCCATGAAAAGGTAAAAATGTCCCTTCTCTATCTGCTGTGCACCTAGTAGACTCATAACCAAATGATAATGAATAATTCAGTTTTAACTATATATATAATCTGTAAGGATGCCATCATCACATCATAACCTTACTTATCCACTTAGTCAACACCGTTTTAGGTCGTTTTAGGATGGTACTCTTTCTACGCCTTTCGAGTAACGACGAAGTATATTTAGCATACGAATGGCCTTTCCTAGAACCCATAATACGACATGAGTATCATGGTATTCTATACATCATATTAATTTTTTTTTTTTTACTGCACTCCCAAATAATGTCACTCTAAATGGAGTTCATTTATCACCAAGTTTGATACAGATTGCAAAAACTTACCATATTCTATAATATATTAGAAAGGATATAACATTTCAATATTCTTGCAAATAACATGGACCAGTTGAAGAAGAGTATAGTCAATTACTGTACATACTTTATCTGCTGTGTCAAGATTATGCAGTTCTTGGAAACAAATTAAATCACTGAAAACACTTATGACCAAAATTAATTGTGATCCTAGTTTATATTTGTAATGTTGATCATACGACCTTACTCTAGCTCCATAGAATGATTCCTAAGAATTTAAACTAGAAACATTAAATTCAAGAATAGTATGTTCCAAAGTTTTGAATTCGCAAAACGTTCATGAAATCTAAGACATAGCAGAATGGAACTAAGATACATCTTAATTACAGCTTTATCACAGTCCAATACTAAATCCCCATTGTATTATATGCAACAATTCATATATATGAATACAAAACTTGATATAGAAAAATATCCTCGACATATAAACATATATAGTAAGTAAATAAGTTAAAGTTCTAAACTAAGGTTCACTTACTTTCCACTTCTCATCAAATTTACATATATAGTTTTTTTTTAAATATATATATAGATATATGTTAAAATAGTTGCACTTGTACGAATAATACGGTGAATTTCATTCCAAGATTTTGCATATTTAACATTTCAAACATTAGGAATAACAGAAATATGACAGTATTTAGGTTCTTTCATAGTGCTATATCACATTCAAAGCTGATCAAAGCGCTTAAGGGTGCGTTCAATCAAATTTTCGAAGCTAGAATCACAAACATGAATCACAAACCAAAACGCCGTTACAAAAAACAAGGTCACTGCGGTTAGCGTTCAAGCGATTTTTCATCAACGCTGATTCTAGCTCATTTCGAGCCCAGCCACTGCGCATCACACTGCGCAGTTTGATCCAGGAACTTCGGCGCGCGCTTTCTGGAATTGTTTACGACCGACTGTCGACTGCTGTTTTGAGCATAGATCGCAATAATAAGACAAAGAATGAGAAGGTGATAGAAGGAAGAAACAAAGAATAACATAAGGAAAGACAGAAAGACAGAAAGAGAGTGATAGAATGCTTAAAACAAAGAATTACATAAAAGGTGATAGAAGGAAAAAACAAAGCATAACATAAGAATAGAAGGAAGAAACAAAGAATAACAAAAGAGAAGGTAATAGAAGGAAGAAACAAAGAATAACATAAAAGAAAGTGATAGAATTATAAAAACAAAGAATAACATAAAAGAAGATGATAGAAGGAAGAAACAAAGAATAACATAAGGAAAGACAGAAAGAGAAATTGATAGAATGCTTAAAACAAAGAATTACATAAGAAAAGGTGATAGAAGGAAGAAACAAAGAATAACATAAGGAAATACAGAAAGAGCACATGATAGAATGATAAAAACAGAGAATAACATAAGAAAAGGTGATAGAAGGAAAAAAACAAAGAATAACAGAATAGAAGGAAGAAACAAAGAATAACATAAGGAAAGACAGAAAGAGAAAATGATAAAAGGGAAACAAGGAATAACATAACGAAACAGGCCATGATGGTATAGTGAACGCAAATTGCATGCAAAGCGGGCGCGCGGTTTTTCCCAAACCGGAACAGGCTTCGTCATACAATCATGAGTGAAAACTCCGTCCGTTCAATCGAATTTTAGCGACCGTGATTCTGCAGAATCATGATACAAAACGCATCTTTTTCAGCGTTTCATGTTTGTGTTTTTAAACACGTTTATTTTTACGACCGACGAAAAAATCGCTTTAACGCATTGCGTTTTAAACTAAACGTCTTTAGAAACCGTGATTCTAGGTGGAAAAAGTGTCGATTAAACGCACCCTTACAGAGCAGATTACCAACAGCATCAAAACCTCCGAGTCCAGAATATTCAAAACAATAAAATATCCTACTACAATGCTTTTATTTACATATGTATAAAAAAGTTTTTAAATATTTCTTGAATGATTTAGTAGAAGTTACCGTAATGGAAAACAATTTACGTGGTAACCTATTTTATATTAACCGGTTAATATTTTGAAAACTTCGCTCTCCAATCTATGAATTTATTCCAGGCCCTTAATTCGATTTAATTGATATTACGATATTCCAGACTGTTTGTCCCATATGTTACTTACCACATCAAAGATGTTTATGATATCTGAACATTAATTGTTTAGATAAGATTAAATATGAAGTGAAATAATACATTTCATATCGATTTATCGGCAGAACAACTCACTACTCGTGTGGGAAATGAAATAGTCAAGTACTTTGATTTTAGGGCATTATACTGTATACATGTAGCGTTAACACAGTGTAGTTTTCAGTAGAGCTTCTAACGGTAGACCTAAACGTTCCCTGTTCATTCATGGATCGTGAGACCGTTGTTGTAAAAGCCACTCGAGGCTGAACGTCTGCTACTCGACACTTGATCTCCACTTCGCTGGCCGTACCCCTTAATAGAACGTTTGATGTCAGATCCTGGGTTCTTGCTGTAGTGATTGGATTGCGAGCTTCCCATGCGTGGAGGCAACTTTAAACAAAAAAAAATTAAAAAAATTATTTTCACTTGAATGATTGTTTTGTGTTACAATTGAATGTTAGAATGTGAGGAAGGTATTGAAGTACATGTATGCCGTGGTAAAAGATATTGTTGTCTAATCAAAGTCTTGCTCGCAGTTTTGTATACTCATCTGGCATTAGATGATTCTATTTATTTTAGATTACTTGTAAAATTGCATGATCAATTGCTTTTACGTATTACAGTAACGATATAATTTCGTTGAAAACTATGATGAAAAACTATCAATATAAATGTTATGTGTCAACGAAATAATTCATGATGTCCTTTAGCTAACCATATCAAAGAATTTATAACAAATATATATATATCAAATCATAGCTTCTGGTCTAAAAGAACAAAATTTTCAAAATGTATATGAGTGCTCCACTGCCCTTGTCACTGACATAGTCGTAGTCGTTAAAGATCTATTTCTGCATAGCGTAACTAGAACTGAAATGGTTCATTAAAGCCACTCTGTCCTACTGGTAGGTACTTGCTCCCTCTATATAGAAGACTTCCCCGATCGGTGCCTGTTGGTCCCCCATGATCCTCTTTCTTTTATGTTAATTGAGAGCTGAGTTATTCAGATAGCCACCTGTCAGTGACCTCGCTGTGTGGTCTAATCTATTTTGACTGAACTAGTACAGCCGGCCTTTAATACTGCATATTCAAAATTCAAGTTAAATAATCGTGGTTGCTAACCCCTGTGCTGTATCGGACACTTGAGACTGAGCGTTTGCTACTCGGCACTCGGCGATCTCCACTTCGTTGACTAGTCCCAAGTGTAAAACGTGTGTTGTCAGAGCCAGTGACGTGATAGTACACATCTGATTGCGAGCTCTCAATGCGGTACGACAGCTTTAAATCAACGAGAAAATACGGTTTTATTTTTTATTTAAACGATGCCAAATGATTTCATTAAGGAATTAACCGTATATACTGTGCTACAACTCATCCTATGGTCAAGAAAGTCGTTCTGTCTCATGCTTCCCTTTGGTGTGCTAATATTGGTGTGATTACGTAACCTTCTAACATTAGGTCGAATAAATTGCCACAGATCACTCTGTTTTTTTAATTATATCATCTCACTTATATTTTGTCTATACACTTATGAACGGGAAAAGCACTGATTCAGAAGAAAATAAATGTTGAATATCGGTCAGGTTCACTATGTAGATTTACTAGCTCAGACAAATTTAAAATATCTATTACATCTGATGTAAATGGGTAAGAGTACGAAAAACTCTAAAAATTTGAGGGAAACTGGGGCACGCATATTTCAACACAAAATATAAAGGCCATTTAAGCAAATTTGAAATCATTTCTATAAATCTAAATCATGTTTTGATAAATCTTCAAATATATGAGCCTGATAGATATTGCATAGTTATGATTGAAGTTTACAGACAACAGCACGGCGTATACAACAAAACAACTGTCGATTAAAACGAAACATGTCCAAAATATATTTACTTAAATCATCGAGCAATTCCATATGCCAGGGATTCTTCTGGAACAATAAAAACAAGAGTTATTCATTGTTACTAAACACACTTATAAAGCCACAGGGAAGAAGCATTCCTACCTGGTCGTTCGAGGTTCCGCTAGAGTGATGGAAGGAAGGAGGTCGACCTTTCATCACAAATTGAGCCATATTCTTCTCCCGCTGAATACGGACAAAGTTCATGCATGCATATGCAGTGCAGGCAATGATGAGGACCAAGGCAAAGCCCAGGCCAGGAACAAGGCCAGCAATAAGGCCGACGTTTAAGGAATCATCTGCAAGAATATGAAAAGTATTGCAAATCAAGGACAAGTCCTGAGTATTTGTTCATGCACTGTTTCCAAAAGTTACCAAGTTCCGTTGGGCTCTGAACATAAATTGACATCAAATGTTACTTCGCTTTCTCTGTCCTTATACATGTTTAATGTACGTGTATGCATATCGATGCCCTGCGTCATTGCGTCGTTTGTCTACACACATGTGTCCTAACATTATTGCATTTATATATCCATTTTTATCTATTCTGATTGTAAAAGAATCTGCAATTCGGTTATCTGGCCGCAAACGATTCATTTTCAATTAACCGTTTTAAAAAATGAACAAATACACAAGTATTGCACATGCTTGTGCAAAGGATTGGCATTCGTAGATCATTTAGTTCTTCATCACTTCCTCCTATTGCAATATTGAATTAAAAACATTTTGTTCCAACTCACCCGCCTCGTTGATTGTATTGTCCGGTGTATCAGAGGCTATGAAAAGATAAAACATTTACATTGATGGACAAGATGGAATATTTTGGTGGAAACCAACATGCATAATTTAGGGTTGGCATAATGTTCAGAAAAGGAGCAAGAAATGAGAAGAAAGGGAAACTAAACATGCTCTTGACGCTTAACCCTAATAAGGCCGGGGGGGCATCATGCCCCCCCCCCCCCTCCACGATTTTTCTGATTGTTCGGGAACGCATATGGATGGCGCCCCGCCGCTCACTGACTTTTTTCTTTCGAGTCTTGCGCAACTTTTAAAATATTTTTTTTGTGTACAAAACATAAGGAAAAGTCATTTTTCCTAAAAACAGATCAAACATGGGTTATTGGGTCTTGTTTAAAGTTTAGGTGGTTGTTTTGGGAGTCAAAAGAGTTGAATTGTAGTTAGAAATGAAATAAAACAACAAAAACAATAAAATACATAAGTTAAAAAAAACAATAAAATACATAAGAAATTATCAAAACAGGGGATAACATAAGGAATAAGCTGGCTCTTCCCGATTTTGTTGTCGATTTATTATTCAGAATGGTTTAATGAATATATATATGCAAATGACTGAATTTTTCAAAAATTGAAATTATCATAGTATCATACTTCAATTGACATGCGTGCAAATTTTCGCGGAGATCGGCCGCTTTACGGCCGAGATCTTATGGGGGGCATAATGCCCCCACCCCCGGCCGCGTAATTTTTTTTCCCACTTGAGCTCGGGACCCCCAGTATGAATTCATTTGCATACAGCCAATTAGAGCTCATCTTGTCATTAACAAGCCTTACGCGTGCTAAAGATGCGCGGCGAAATTCAAAACTGCAATGTTCGAAGCTCCGGGCTTCACAAACGTACGTACGTACACACAGCGCGGTGATATAGGGAAGGCGCTGCAGCGCCTTGCCTATATCAGCATGCATGGTGTGCGTGCATAGGCATAGGCATAGGCATAGGCTTGCACAGTGGCGGATCCAGGGGGGAGGGGGGGTGCAAATTTTTAAATTTTCGACGAACAAAAAGAAAATGTGCTCGATGACCGTGACGATAAGGCCTATCCTTGATTGATAAAGTTATTGCAACTTAGTGCTAAATAACAGTTTTTCACAGCAATTTGATAAGCTGATATTTGTAGATAAATTTGCTAAAGGTAGGTCTAGAGATGTAAGAGCTGAAATGAAACATTTGCAAGCCTATGCCTATGCGCGCACACCATGCACGCTGAAATGGGCAAGGCGCTGTGTGAAGCCCAGTTTTCGACGCGCGTCTTTAGCACACGTAAAGCTTGTTATTGACAAGATGAGCTCTGATTGGCTGTATGCAAATAAGTTCATACCGGGGGTCCCGAGCTCAAGTGGGAAAAAATATTACGCCCCCCGGCCGTACGAAGACCTCAAATAGCCCGGCGTTTTTAGGGTTAAAGGGGCGAATATGCGACTTGGAATTATAAAGTAATAGTGCTCTATTCTTTACTTCTTACACTGACTTAATGGATTTATTTTCAGAAATTGGATATAAAGTAAACACTCTGGGCATTAAAGCTGTTCTTATTTTTCTTGTTCTTGTATAGCATCTTTTCTATTGAGTGACTGCTCAGAGGCCTCTATACTCTGGACAGTGAATCGGATACGATTCTGAGCCGATTTTGCTCATCTTCCATTCCACTCACAAGCATTCCAGTATGCCGTCACAGGCCCCTTCATTTCTCCTAAATCTAGCCCGATGACTCTGTCCCACCGGGAATCCAATTACCACCTGGGTGGAGAGAAGCAATGCACGTAAAATGCAGTGTTTATAAAGGGATCGATTCAATAGATTAATCTGTCCGTACCGAAAATACAGTAGCGTCCAGGGAGTGTGGCTGGGTAGAGGTCATCGTAGCCCTCATTACAGAGGCACTCAAAGCCTAGTCCAGGATCGGTATTGATGCACAGGGCATTCTCTGCGCAGTCATGAGATCCTTCAGCACATTCATCAACATCGGTGATTTCTAAAACGATAACACGAGAAAGTTATTTATCTGCCACACCAGACCCAGGTGAGGAAAATGGGAACCATGGATGGCAGCCGTGCTAAAGAGCAGAAATAATAATAATGGATCCCCGTAATTGCCAATGTGCCAGACATGAATGCTATCATCATTATTGTTATTGACATAATATATTATCATCATTGTTATTTTTGTTATTGTTATTATTATTATTATTGTTATATTATTATTATTACTATTTTTGTCATCATTCATTTCTATTATGTTGATATTCAACATAACCGTGTTAAGGGTGCCTGCACACATGTAGGCTAATGGAGCATAACCAACTTCAATTCAAACGCATCATAAAGACAATTGCACACACAAATCCCTCTCATATGTTTCAAAGGTTGTCCAGGCAAGGACAACAATATAAATCACGAAGAACCAATCGACTATACCTAATGATCTAAACAAAATAAAAACTGATTTGGTATAAAAATTATTTAAGTATGAGTAGAATGCCGTGTCAAATAAATATCTGATTTGTGTGCATCTTTACCCGGTAATGCTATGGTCACATTACCCAAAAGTAGCCTGCTCGGCGGCCGAGCGGCGAGTTTTTAACCAATTCTGCCCGGCGGCTGCCCGGCCACCGAGCGGCGGCCACCCAGGCAACGCTCGTTTTACGGACATCGCTCGGTCGCCGCTGAAGTTTTAGCGCGGAGTTAAAATTTGGGCGGCGCCTGCTCACTTTTCACTCGCAGCTCAAAATACGCTCGGTGCCTGGGCGGTCGCCGCCCGGGCACCGACCTAATCGCTGGGCGATGCCTAATTCCAGCAGCGACCGAGCAGGCTACTGATCGGTCGGTCGCTGCTCTAATTTGTGACCATAGCTTAAACAAATGCAATTATACAAGTCGTTCAACAAACTTCCATATGAAATCCTTTTGATATAAGCTATAGTGAATGTGATAACAGTTTGTTTATGCATATGTCTTTCTTATTTGCCTCGTTAAGAATAATATCATTCATTTGCGTCTAAAAATAATTGCATTTCAGTAGTAAGAACACAAATTACATATCCTGCATTACGTATTTTAGGTATGTTTGAACGACTTAGGCACAACTAAAGTAATTTGTTTTCTGGCACTGAAATATAATATAATATAACCGGTGAATCTAAAAGGTTGTCTCTGGATGAACGTGTAATCATTTCATTAATTTTTCAGATAATATAAATCTTTCAAATAAAGACTCAATGGCATATTGTGAGATCTAATACCTGTAACACTAAGAGATGCCATGTTGATAAGAAGAGTGGTATTGTCTGCTATTAGGTGGCCATCGCTGTCCATACTCTCTTGCAAGAGGGCGTTCATCAATGTGGTCGCATTGCCAACGAAAGTTTCATCTCCGCTGACTGTGAAGTCCACCCCTAGACTACCCTGGAAATATCCCAAAAGTACCGCATTGATGACACCCCTAAAACCCCTTGCAGAGAGCAACCTTGGCATCTATAAAAAAAAAAAAAGTTAAATACAAGTCGTAGTTAAATAGAATGGCAGTAACTGTATTCAAAGTGCTTGGAACAGTAAAGACAGCTGGTGATATTATTGCTGATGGAGCTTCATGCAGAACAAAAATCGTAGGTCAAAACGATATTCATTGTGCTTTACGCCCCCCCCCCCCCCCTGTCCAAGATTACAATTTGCTGCAATATATTCCACCTGCTATGAGAGGGATATCGGTCTAGCAGGCCGTCCCGTGGTACATATATTTTTAATATTATTGAGGACTGCGTGTTCACAAATAGGCCTTACAACGGATACAGTGGCGTTCTTACGAACTTTTAATGGGTTTCACTTGACCGACGGCCCAATAGACCGATATTTGTTTTCCCTTATTTATTTTCTTCATTTTGTCGGTCACGTAGACTTGTCGTTTTAGTGGACTGCCGGTCCCCTGGGCTTCTCTTTGTTTATTTTTCTTTCTACCGTATATATTCTTTATTTATTTATTTGTCTTGTCGGCCTCGTGGACTTTCGGTATACTGGGCCCACCCTCTTTCAGACAGATAAACAACATGTGGGGAAATGCAAATGATATCAGATGTATATATATGAAACTCACCACGTATCTGATTGCTTCAGCTCCGGCGATGTAGGCTTTGCTCTGTGGATCACTGTATGCATCGTTAAAGTTTACTGGAACATCGTTGATAGCACGTATAATGAAGGAAGTTCTGAGCAGACGCCGTGCTGCAAGAGATTGATTACAAGTATACTTAAGCTAGTTTCGTAGAGCATACAATACTGGAAGAGAGACATTACAATTATGATGATAATGAATGTGACATGTGTACATCTTATTACTGGACGATTTATTCGCTCTAGAACAAGAGGCAATTATTTAAAACAGTGGTCATCCTGATGCTGATTATATTTAATAATGATCAAATGTTGTTGTAACTCACCTGCGATACACTGAGCTACGCCCTGTCCTCCTTCTTTCCTGTATAACCCTGGCCTACATTGACATGAAGACTGCATGCACCTCTCTTGTTCCAACGAACAACTCGACGAACATTGCTCTTTTAAAAAAAAGGGGGAAAGATGTCGTTTCGGTTTTCATTTTTGTTTGTTTACCTCAACCGAGTTATGAACAATTTACCTTAATATAAATACAGTCAAGGTGAACTTTTAAATTGAGTTCTAGTCGGAGAGACCATATTATATTCTAAATTGAAATGTCTGGAACCACCAAGGAAAAGTCTCTTTTGTAGCACATCATAATCGGTGTATATTGCAAGGTTTCAAAATCATCAAAAACGAAAATGAAATTACTCAATCTTGCTTAAAGTCATGTGGACTGCACAAATACATACGGATATGATAACAGGACTACGAACACATTTGGAATTAAAGTTGTGTCCAAACATGTCAACTACATGTATATATCATCATATTTCGAAATCTAATCGGGTATTTCAGTGATGTGCATTAATTTGTGTGTAAAGAATGAAGCAAATCGGACTTTCACCTAAAAACTAGAAATCACGGTGGACACTAACCTGAGCATATGCCATTCACAGGGGATGTGCCGTCCCTACAAACACATACTCCTTGATAACAAGCCTGTGTGTCCTCACAAAGGACGTCATTACATCTCAAATCTAATCCAGGTCGTTAGTAAAGCAGAACATGACAATAAATTTATAAATGAGAGAACTACAAAAATAAATCTTAATAGAATAGTATTTAATAATGATTAACGATTAATGTCATAACGTCGAACCCCTAATACTATGCTTCCTCAGACGTCTGTGTCCCTTCCATATCTAGTTATTCGCTAGTAAAGTTACTTTTTTTTCAATCTCTTTTTATATGGATAATAATTTTTTTTCTGATCATTTTCCTATTGCTGTCGATAACTGATTGTTATATTTGTCGTATCAGTTGTAGTACGGTAAGCATACCTGAGATAAGATTTAAAGTAAAAGGAGTGTTTAAGTATGTTTTAGAGATATTCTATTCCGAATAAGGCAAACGAGCAAAGGACGGATGAGGAAATGTTTAGTATGCTGTACTTTGTTGCTCTTGTATGGTGTGAGGTGAGTGTGTGCGTCCGTATCTGTGTGCGTGATGTGTGATAAACACCCTTATGACTGAGAATCTTTCTACGCCAATTTTCGGATTACACAAAATGATGAAAACGATTTGAGATTAATAACAGTAATGATAATAATAATAATAATAATAATAATGATAATAATAGTAATAATAATAATAATAATAATAATAATAATGATAATGATGATACAAATACCACTACTACTATTAATACCACTACTACTACTAATACTAATACTACTAATACTACTACTATTACTACTACTACTCCTACTACTACTAGTCATAATACTACTACTACTACTACTACTACTACTACTACCCCTACTTCTACTACTACTGCTACAAATGATAATGGTAATTATGATAACAATAATAATAACAACTCAACGTGGTATAGGTGATAATATCATAACATAACCTTATCGGATAAATGTAACGGATTATCTTTACCGTTTTGGCACCTTAAGCCAGTGAAGCCTGGGAGACATGTGCACGTAAACGTCGTAGGCTCTTGATTACACGTGCCTCCGTTCATACATGAGTCGGTTTGACATGGTACTGTTGGTGTTCCAGCTGCAACGAAATATATACCGTGTGGGATAGTCAGGTGGGGATCCAATATTTTCGACAAGGGCACCATCATTTAGAGAATGTTTTGGCACACAGATAAGCAGGCACGTAGCCACGGGGGGGGGGGGGGAGGGGGACATGTGCCCCCCAGAACATTTCCAAGATCGGTTGAACTTTTTTAGACCCCTCCCCAGGACGTCGATCGATTACATGTATGTGCCCTCCCCCTCCCCCCCCCCCCAAAAAAAAAAAAAAAAAAAAAAAAAAAAACATCAAACTCTGGCTACGGCCCTGCAGATAAAAGGGATAAGTGGTCACATCATTTGCATATGTTTCTTTAGGGTCGAAAATATTTTAAAGAAATTCAAAAGGGGTACATGTTCCGTTCATCGTAATTGAGGTAAGCAACATGGTTTTCAAACGGTGATGGAGACGGGCAGGCTGTGCTTCCGCCTCTAACCCATTAGAGTTAGGTGAATGTGACCCCAAAAAAGGACAATCTGTCTCAGCACAACCGTAACATGTTCTCCTAGCTGCTAATGGCGTTGCCAAATCATCAGAGATAATTTTTGATCGGGGTGGGGTGGGAATGGGGATGGCCCAAACTAATACTGTCTTTTCAGTCAAATATTGTCCAAAAACAGAATCAGAACCTCTTTTACACTCAATAAATCGCCACGCAATGAAAGTTTTAAACCCTTCTCTTCCCTATGTCGACACGATTAAAGAGAAAAGATGTAAAAAATAAAATAAAAAAATCACAAAATGTGCCACCTCCAATACCATTGATAACAAAAGTGTATTCAAGGGATACCACTAGCCAAACACTTCCTTTATGAAGTGTGGTTTTAACATTAGCTCTCTTATTGTAAATGGCAAAGCCTGTATCGGGAATCCACATATTGCTTATATTTGTTGTAACAAGGGAAATTGAAGAAACATTGTGATTTACAAATATTTTGTCTTAAGCAACGAATTGGAGTCTTACGATTGCATTGTGAATTTTCTAAAGAGTTTTCAAAGCCGTCGTAGCAGTTGCACTGGAATGTATCCATCATGATGACACAGAAACTATTTACATCCGCACTGCATGGCAAAGTCGAGCATTTGTTAATATCTGTTTTAAGTGTGGGAATAAGAAAAGAGACGAAGAAAAGAGTTATCTCTGAATATGATTGGAAATAGAAGAAAAAAAGTGTTGTCCGAAAAAAAAATTAATGCTTTTACAATTGTTATAGTTTTCAGTAGGATAAAATTGTGCAATTGTTTTTACAATATTAAAGGTCGTTCATTTTCATTCCAAAGTTATGCTACGGAGACTTTAGAATGAGGACTATATCATTTTGAAAATGAAACAAATTTGATAGCAGAAAACACATTTGAAACTAATACGTTGCAATACTGTGATGATGTAATAGAATATCAAAGGAGATACCTTCAGTACAATAAATGATAATAATAAGTACTACCTACTCCGGTGTATAAATAATGTTTTGCCGAGCATACTACTACCGATAATATTGTAAAGAGGCAAACGGTTCTTTTAACTGTTGAGTTATCATTTGATATGCGTATGAACATATAAGCAACCAATATTTGCTTGGCTACGGCTTCCAATATTTCATTAGTATCTATAGGTTTTTATAAAACATGTTCACGTACTGCTACAGCCGATGTTATCCGAAAGTTGGCCATTGGACTGGCAATAGACAGTTGAGTTCCCGACCAGCTTGTATCCAAAAGGGCAGGTAAAATCACATTGTGTATTCTCAGTGATGTCAATTCCTGCAGGACACGCATTGTTGGTGTTGTCCAGCGGTGGAAGGTAGCTTACTTCACAAAGAACTAGGACAAAGGTATGGATAAGGTAAACTAGAAAGTGCCAAGTCTTGGACCTAGTTCTACTTCTAATAATGAAATAATGATAACGATGATGGTAATGATAATAATAGTAATACTACTACCACTAAAAATAATGATAATTATAATTTGGGTTGATATAGCGCTTGATAATCCTAAGATCTAACCCACGTCCACGACCTTTAGCACATCCGGTCAAGTGTCTAAATTTATTTCAAAACATTGGGGCCTATTCTAAAAACATCACCTTTTCAAGGAAATTAGCTACTAACCATGTTTTTAATGTTACCCCATTCGGGGACATTGTGATACTATTTTAGTGAAAACCAGCCTCATAGAGAGCATTTCGGCTGATCTTGAGAACTGCTACGCCATATGCTATTCGATTTACTTACTCTCACATCCATTTTGATCAGATAGTTCACCGTTGGTCTGGCAATAGACAGTTGAGCTTCCGACCAGATTGTATCCAGTAGGGCAGGTAAAATCACACTGTGTATCCTCAGTAATGTTCACTCCTGCAGGGCACGCATTGTTTGGATTATTCAACGGCGGAGTGTAGTTAACCTCACAAAGAACTATGACAAAAGAGATGGAAACATAACAACGATCAAAAAATAAAATTGGCGAAATAATTTCCATTATTCTTACAACAATATGGCAACTTTATAGATAGATATTTGTAAAAAGAAAAACGCGGTCATATCAAGTATATGAATACGGAGGTTACTTTGAGAAGAAATGCAATTACAGTGCATCAGTCATCGAAAAAGATCCATGTCAAAACAAACAAATATCAATTTTGGAATCTGCAAGAAAAAGCTTTCTTGCGTTCATTTGAATTGTTTTGAAACGATGGTCCATCAAGTCAATGAAATACAAGAAAACATTGACAACCAGGGCGGGGCAAATGTGGGGAGGGGTCTTAATTTCTTTAAAGACCCCCGCCCCCCCCCTCCCCTCTCTTGTTCTCTCTCGCTCTCTCTCTCTCTCTCTCTCTCTCTATCTCCCTCTCTCTCCTTTCTCTTTCTCTCGCTCTTGATTTTTTTCTTCTTCTCATGTTTGCTACTTTATGGGAAATAGTGTGTATAAACTTACTAAGACATGTTGGAAGAGATCCTTCGAGTTGTCCATCCAATTGACACACTGTTGTTTTGTCACCAGCGAGGGCATACCCATCGGAGCAATCAAAGACACACTCATCTTGCCAATTGACCACAGAGCTTGATACACATAATCCAGTGAGAGGCGATTTGTAGGTCCATACCTGGCATTTGATGACTAACGATCGCACACAAAAGATAATAACAGTGAAGCATTTGTTTGATAACGAGAGCAAAACTGTGAACTTTTTGTTGGACATATCTGGCAAAAATATGGTACAGTTTTTTAAGACGTTGGAGCTCAATTAACAAACATCTTCTCCTGCTGAAATCTAGGGAAATTATATATCTAAGGCTACGCAGTTTGGGTATTTTAGTCACCCCATCCAAAGGATGCGAGGGTGTTTGAGTATTTCGCATTTCCCGAGGACGTTAAAGCCTTTTAAAAAACATATGTTCCCGAAAACTAGATAAAAGCTTGTCTGGTAGCCTGCCCAACTTTGATAAAAATTGCGGTACTACATGTATTTGTGTCACACCAGTCCCATATATTGAACCTTTCGGCTCATCGTGATAATGAACTGCTACGCTATACCGGTATGCTAAATTCGTTTACTTACTCTCACATCCAATTTGATCAGATAGTTCACCGTTGGTCTGGCAATAGACAGTTGAGCTTCCGACCAGATTGTATCCAGTAGGGCAGGTAAAATCACATTGTGTATTCTCAGTGATGTTCGTTCCTGCAGGGCACGCATTGTTTGGATTATTCACCGGCGGAGTGTAGTTAACCTCACAAAGAACTATGACAAAAGAAATGGAAACATAACAACGATCAAAAATAAAATTGGCGAAATAATTTCCATTTTTCTTACAACAATATGGCAACTTTATAGATAGGTATTTGTAAAAAAAAAAAAAACGCGGTCATATCAAGTATATGAATACGGAGGTTACTTTGAGAAGAAATGCAATTATAGCGCATCAGTCATCGAAAAAGATCCATGTCAAAACAAAGAAATATCAATTTTGGAATCTGCAAGAAAAGGCTTTCTTGCGTTCATTTGAAATGTTTTGAAACGATGGTCCATCAAGTCAATGAAATACAAGAAAACATTGACAACCAGGGCGGGGCAAATGTGGGGAGGGGTCTTAATTTCTTTAAAGGCCCCCGCCCCCCCCCCCTCCCCTCTCTTGTTCTCTCTCGCTCTCTCTCTCTCTCTCTCTCTCTCCCTCTCTCTCCTTTCTCTTTCTCTCGCTCTTGATTTTTTTTCTTCTTCTCATGTTTGCTACTTTATGGGAAATAGTGTGTATAAACTTACTAAGACATGTTGGAAGAGATCCTTCGAGTTGTCCATCCAATTGACACAATGTTGTTTTGTCACCAGCGAGGGCATACCCATCGGAGCAATCAAAGACACACTCATCTTGCCAATTGACCACAGAGCTTGATATACATGTCCCAGTGAGAGGCGAATTGTAGGTCCATACCTGGCATTTGATGACTAAAGATAGCACACAAACGTTAATAACAGTCAAGCATTTATTTGATCACGAGAGGAAAACGGTTTAGTTTTTGTTCAACATATCTCGCAAAAAGATGGCACAAGATCTTCTATAATTGATGATCGGATGGACCATTCGCTTGGTACATCGTAATAATGAACATAAAGGCAAAACCTCTCCAAGCAAGCTGTCCTCTTTTGCTAAACATTGCAAATATTTGTATATATTGGGGGAATCGAAGCAAGCAATCAAAAGACCTTTCATTTTATGAAAGCTATACTTGCCTAAAAGGATATCAACATTTAAAAGGCATCCTGTTTACCTTTCAAAAGTGCAATATGGTGCCCGGTTATTGGTTATTTTGCACTTTTCAAAGAAATTGGGGCCTATTCTAAAAACATCACCTGTTCTAAGACATTAGTTACTAACCATTTTCGTAATGCTGCCCCATTCGGGTAACATTTTGATACTATTTTAGTGAAACCAGCCCCATAGAGGGAGCATTTCGGCTGATCATGCCAAATGATATTCGATCTACTTACTCTCGCATCCAATTTGATCAGATAGTTCACTGTTGGACTGGCAATAGACAGTTGGGCTCCCGATCTGATTGTATCCAGTAGGACAGGTAAAATCACATTTTGTATTCTCAGTGATGTTCACTCCTGCAGGGCACGCATTGTTTGTATTATTCACCGGTGAAGTGTAGTCAACTTCACAAAGAACTATGAAAACGACATGGAAACATAATAACCGTCGATAAATAAAAATGACAAAATAATTTCCATTTTTCTTACAATAATAAAGCAACTTTAGAGATTGGTATTTTTCATTAATGCGGTCAAATGATATATATGATTACAAAGAAAACATTTGGAAGAAATGCATTTTCATTGCATCAGTGATTGAAATAGATCAACTTTTTAAACGAAAAAATATACATCATTTATGGAATCTGCGGCGGAAAGAATTCATGCGTTCATTTGGAATATTTTAGGCGGTGGTCCATCAATTCAATGAAATACAAGAGGAAAGAAATAACTTTCAGAGAGGGGCACATTTAGGGACTTACTTAGACATGTTGGAAGAGATCCTTCGAGTTGTCCATCCTCTTGACACACTGTTGTTTTGTCACCAGCGAGGGCATATCCATCGGAACAATCAAAGACACACTCTTCTTGCCAATCGACCACAGAGCTTGATATACATGATCCAGTGAGAGGCGAATTGTAGGTCCATACCTGGCATGTAATGACTATAGCACATAATAGATAATAAGAGTGAAGCATTTATCTGATAACGAATGCAAAACGGGATACATTTTGTTCGACCTATCTGGAAAAGAGATGGCACAGGTCTACAAGCAGTGTATCGAAAATTTGAAGATGTTGGAGCTCAAGTTATAAACATCATCTCTTCCTGCAAACTAGGGAATATATATATCTAGGGCTACCCAACTCTGGTATGGATACTATTTTAGTCACCCCATCCAAGGGATGCGAGGCTGCTCGGGTGTTGAGTATTTTACATTTCTCGAAGACGTTGGAGCCTAGATAATAGTTTGTCTTTTAGCCTGCAAAACTTTGATAACACTATGGTACTACATGTATTTGTGTCGCCCCAGCCCCATATATTGAACCTTTCGGCTAATCATGATATTTAACTGCTAAGCTTTATGCCTAATTCGTTTACTTACTCTCACATCCAATTCGATCAGATAGTTGACCATTGGACTGGCAATAGACAGTTGAGCTCCCGATCAGATTGTATCCAGTAGGACAGGTAAAATCACACTGTGTATCCTCGGTGATGTTTATTCCTGCAGGGCACGCATTGTTGATATTCGTTACCAGCGACGTGTGTTTTACCTGGCAAGTAACTAAATAAATACTTACAAACATGAATTTGTATTCAGTACATTATTTGACGAGTAAAAATTAAAGAGAAAACTTTTCACAGAGGGGTAACGTATTGTCCGTTTACTTTATCATTTAGTTGTCAATGATGATCGTAAAATTGAAATGGATTGAGGGATATATTCTATGTTTGTAGTAATCTAGTTCAGTTTGATCTCATGTAATACAGGTGCATTTTTTATTTGTCTCAGAATTGTTATCATACTAATTGGACAATCCTTTGGTTAAACTTTCTCTAACTTACTTGTACAAGTTGGAAGAGATCCGTTTAGTTGTCCATTTACGCCACAACTTGTAGTATCATCTCCTGCAAAGAGATATCCCTCAGCGCATCCAAACGTACATTCAGTTGACCAATCAACATTGGAGTTCGAATCACATGACCCAATGAGAGGCCAAGTATAGTTCCATACGGGACATGTAATGACTGAAGGAAAAGAGAGAGGGCTAATAGTTATAATGCATTTTAAACGTGACAAATTTACTAAAATAATGCTATTAGTCGTAAGAATAGTGGTTCTATCCAAAACTTTGTTCAAACAACCTGTACAGATGAGACCACATGAAATTAATTCCTTTTTTCTTCGTGCTCTTCCCCCTTTTTTGTCTGCCCTCCACATTTTCTGAGAATCTGGACGAGACTGGCCATGGACGTCTTTGCAACATCGTCAATATATGTTTTTAGTGAAAACGAAGTACTCCTTCTACATTGTTTTAATTGTCGAGATAAAAACAACTTAGGTTAATCGAATCGGACCTTAGAGGCGCTGCTTAAAGTATTATCCTTTTCCGATTATTTAAGGTGACAAAATTACTCGTTCCTTTGAGGATGCAGTCTTTGGAAAACCTTACTACTGCATTAGCTACATTGTACATTAGAGTACGCTTTCAACAACAAGTAATTTCTGTTATGACTTTACTTACTCTCACATCCAATTTGATCAGATAGTTCACCGTTGGACTGGCAATAGACAGTTGAGCTCCCAACCAGATTATATCCAGTAGGACAGGTAAAATCACACTGTGTATCCTCGGTGATGTTTACTCCTGCAGGGCACGCATTGTTGATATTCGTTACCAGCGACGTGTAGTTTACCTGGCAAGTAACTAAATAAATACTTACAAACATGAATTTGTATTCAGTACATTATTTGACGAGTAAAAATGAAAGAGAAAACTTTTCACAGAGGGGTAACGTATTGTCCGTTTACTTTATCATTTAGTTGTCAATGATGATCGTAAAATTGAAATGGATTGAGGGATATTTTGGTTATATTCTATGTTTGTAGTAATCTAGTTCAGTTTGATCTCATGTAATACAGGTGCATTTTTTATTTGTCTTAGAATTGTTATCATACTAATTGGACAATCCTTTAGTTAAACTTTCTCTAACTTACTTGTACAAGTTGGAAGAGATCCGTTTAGTTGTCCATTTACGCCACAACTTGTAGTATCATCTCCTGCAAAGAGATATCCCTCAGCGCATTCAAACGTACATTCAGTTGACCAATCAACATTGGAGTTCGAATCACATGACCCGATGAGAGGCCAAATATAGTTCCAAACAGGACATGTAATGACTGAAGAGAAAGAGAGAGAGGCCAAATTTTGAGTTCGAATGCAATATATATACGTGACAAATTTGGGGATGCAGTCTTCGGAAAACTTTTCTACTGCAGTAACTACATCGTATATTAGAGTACACTTTCATTAATAAGATTTTTTAAAAAGCTTGGGTAAATTGAACTGGTCTGTAAAAGCGCTTCTTAAAAGATGAGGTGTCCACATCTTTATCTTCAAAGTACTATCCTTTTCCGATTAGGGTGATTAAAAATTACTCGTTCCTTTGGAGGTGCAGTCTCCGGGAAACCTTACTACAGCAGTAACTATATTTTACATTAGAGTACACTTTCATCAATAAGTAATTTCTTTTACTTACTCTCACATCCAATTTGATCAGATAATTGACCATTGGACTGGCAATAGACAGTTGAGCTCCCGATCAGATTGTATCCAGTGGGGCAGGTAAAATCACACTGTGTATCCTCGGTGATGTTCACTCCTGCAGGGCACGCATTGTTGGTATTAGTCACCGGCGAAATGTAGTTCACCTGGCAAGTAACTGGAGAAATATTGAAATACGTGAATGAAAATCATTAAATCATATGAAAAGTATAATTTAAAGGGAGAACTTTTACTGTGGTGTTACTTATTTTCCGTTAATTCTTAAATTTGGGTGTCAATGATGATCTTAAAATCAAAATGGAATAAGGGATATTTGGGGAATATGCTCTGATTTAAGTAATCAAGTTTAGGTTGATCTCATGTAATACAGGAGCATTTTGTATTTGTCTCAGAATTGTTATCATAGTACTAATTGGACAATCCTTTGGTTAAACTTTCTCTAACTTACTTGTACAAGTTGGAAGAGATCCGTTTAGTTGTCCATTTACACCACACCTTGTAGTATCATCTCCTGCAAAGAGATATCCCTCAGCGCATCCAAACGTACATTCAGTTGACCAATCAACATTGGAGTTCGAATCACATGACCCAATGAGAGGCCAAGTATAGTTCCATACGGGACATGTAATGACTGAAGGAAAAGAGAGAGGGCTAATAGTTATAATGCATTTTAAACGTGACAAATTTACTAAAATAATGCTATTAGTCGTAAGAATAGTGGTTCTATCCAAAACTTTGTTCAAACAACCTGTACAGATGAGACCACATGAAATTAATTCCTTTTTTCTTCGTGCTCTTCCCCCTTTTTTGTCTGCCCTCCACATTTTCTGAGAATCTGGACGAGACTGGCCATGGACGTCTTTGCAACATCGTCAATATATGTTTTCAGTGAAAACGAAGTACTCCTTCTACATTGTTTTAATTGTCGAGATAAAAACAACTTAGGTTAATCGAATCGGACCGTAGAGGCGCTGCTTAAAGTATTATCCTTTTCCGATTATTTAAGGTGACAAAATTACTCGTTCCTTTGAGGATGCAGTCTTTGGAAAACCTTACTACTGCATTAGCTACATTGTACATTAGAGTACGCTTTCAACAACAAGTAATTTCTGTTATGACTTTACTTACTCTCACATCCAATTCGATCAGATAGTTGACCATTGGACTGGCAATAGACAGTTGAGCTCCCGATCAGATTGTATCCAGTAGGGCAGGCAAAATCACACTGTGTATCCTCGGTGATGTTTATTCCTGCAGGGCACGCATTGTTGGTATTCGTTACCAGCGACGTGTAGTTTACCTGGCAAGTAACTAAAGAAATACTTAAACACATGAATTTGTATTCAGTACATCATTTGACGAGTACAAATGAAAGGGAAAACTTTTCACAGAGGGGTAACGTATTGTCCGTTTACTCTGTCATTTAGTTGTCAATGATGATCATAAAATCGCAATGGAATAAGGAATATTTTGGTCATATACTCTGTTTGTAGTAATCTAGTTTAGGTTGATCTCATGTGATACAGATCAATTTGTATTTGTCTCAAAATTGTTATCATACTTATTGGACAATCCTTTGGTTAACTGTTCTCTAACTTACTTGTACAAGTTGGAAGTGATCCGTTTAGTTGTCCATTTACGCCACAACTTGTAGTATCATCTCCTGCAAAGAGATATCCCTCAGCGCATCCAAACGTACATTCAGTTGACCAATCAACAGTAGAGTTCGAATCACATGACCCGATGAGAGGCCAAGTATAGTTCCATACGGGACATGTAATGACTGAAGAGAAAGAGAGAGATGACACATTTTGAGTTCGAATGCAATATATACGTCACACATTTACTCAAATAGCGCTATCAGTCTTAAGAATTAGTTCTACTATCTATTACTTTCTTCAAACAACCTGTACAGATTAGGCCAAATTATATTAATTCCTTTTTCGCCCTCTCTCCCTTTTTTCTGCCCCCCCCCCCTCATTTTTTGAGAACCTAGAAGAAAATAACCATGGACGTCTTTGCAACATCGTCAATATATGTTTTCAATGAAAACGAAGTATTCCTTTATAACAATTGTTTCATTTGTTCAGATAAAAACAACTTAGGTGAATCGAACCGGTCCGTAGAGACACTTCTTAAAAGATGCGGGTGTCCATATCTTTATATTCAGAGTACTACCATTTCCCGATTAAGGTAACTAAAAAGTACTCGTTCCTCTGGGGGTGCTGTCCTCGGGAAACCTTACTACTGTAGTAACTACATTGTACATTAGAGTACACCTTCATCAATAAGTATTTTATTTTACTTACTCTCACATCCAATTTGATCAGATAGTTGACCATTGGACTGGCAGTAGACAGTTGAGTTCCCGATCAGATTGTATCCAGTAGGACAGGTAAAATCACACTGTGTATCCTCGGTGATGTTTATTCCTGCAGGGCACGCATTGTTGATATTCGTTACCAGCGACGTGTAGTTTACCTGGCAAGTAACTAAAGAAATACTTACAAACATGAATTTGTATTCAGTACATTATTTGACGAGTAAAAATGAAAGAGAAAACTTTTCACAGAGGGGTAACGTATTGTCCGTTTACTTTATCATTTAGTTGTCAATGATGATCGTAAAATTGAAATGGATTGAGGGATATTTTGGTTATATTCTATGTTTGTAGTAATCTATCTGGCAGTAGACAGTTGAGTTCCCGATCAGATTGTATCCAGTAGGACAGGTAAAATCACACTGTGTATCCTCGGTGATGTTCACTCCTGCAGGGCACGCATTGTTGGTATTAGTCACCGGTGAGGTGTAGTTTACCTGGCAAGTAACTAGAGACATACTCTAAAATTTGAATATTATTCAGTACATCATTCGACGAGTAAGGATGATTGAGGAGAACGTTTACAGTGTGTAACCTATTGTTCGTTCACTCTTTTATTTAGGTGTCAATGATCATCTTAAAATCGAAATGGAATAAGGAATATTTTGGTAATGCAATGTTTGTATTAATCTTGATCAGGTTACTCTTGTTGATACAGGTAGACTTTTTATATGTCTTTGAATTTCGATCATACTAATTGCACAAACCTCTAGTGAAATGTACTCTAACTTACTTGTACAAGTTGGAAGAGATCCGTTTAGTTGTCCATTTACGCCACAACTTGAAGTATCATCTCCTTCAAGGAGATATCCCTCAGCGCATCCAAACGTACATTCAGTTGACCAATCAACAGTAGAGTTCGATTCACATGACCCAATGAGAGGCGAGGTATAGTTCGAAACAGGACATGTAATGACTGAAGTGAAGGAGAGAGAGTAAAAATATGTTTTGTAGTCCGATAACATCAATCTCGTATCAAATGCGTTAAAATAGTGAAGTAAAAATGAAGAAAATGTATTTTACTCCAGAATACACTTCTATCAATAAGTAATTCCTTTTACTTACGCTCGCATCCAATTTGATCAGATAGTTCACCGTTGGTCTGGCAATAGACAGTTGAGCTCCCTACCAGATTGTATCCAGTAGGACAGGTAAAATCACATTGTGTATTCTCAGTGATGTTTGTTCCTGCAGGGCACGCGTTGTTGGTATTAGTCACCGGCAAAGTGTAGTTAACCTCGCAAAGAACTGGAGAGAATAGAAATCGAGTCGAATGACAAGTGAGATTCAAAAAAACAATTTCTGTTGCAATGGACCTAATGCCATTTCTATATACAGAAAGAGAATGGAATATCAAATAACATTTAAACCCCCCTCATTTCTTAAATATTCAGACGGGAAAGTAGGAATCAAGTTTACATGACCAACCCTCGATCATTAGGCTACGTCTTTACAATATCGTCATTTTCTCTGTGCAGTTTTGATGACCAAGAAGTACAGGTTACGTTGTATGTGTGTCTTTGTGTATTTTTTCTAACTGGTCAGATCTGAGAAGGTACGAAAGTCAAAACAGTCTGTAAAAACCGGTAAAAACTTATACCATTGATAAGGTGCTAAAATTTACATTTGAAAGCATTTTGACATTCTGCTTTTTAGTTACCCCCAAAAGATACTCATTACTTTAGGGCTGCACTCCTTGAGATATGTTTATACTGCAGTAACCAAATTGGGGTCAGTTTAAATACTGTAATCATTAAGACATTTCTTTTATAATTTTACTTACTCTCGCATCCAATTTGATCAGATAGAAGACCGTTGGACTGGCAATAGACAGTTGAGCTCCCGACCTGATTGTATCCAGTAGGGCAGGTAAAATCACATTGTGTATTCTGAGTGATGCTCATTCCTGAAGGGCACGCATTGTTTGTATTACTCAGGGGTGGACTGTAGTTTACCTGACAAGTAGCTGGACACAGTTTGAACACATAAATGAAAATAAAAGTTGAAGTTTTTCGCATTTTTCTTGGAAACTGCAAATTTGGAGGGCAATTTTCGCATAGTTGGTCAGTGAAAGGGATATTACTTGAAGTATCTAAATCCGAAGAGGAGTGTGGGTTTGCGCAGGCATAATGGAGCTACGGCCACAGAAAGAAAAACAATAGAACTTTATAGAAGCGCTATTTATATCGTGCATGACTATTGGAGCGTGACATTTGGCGAGGACGTGTGCTATGATACGATTGACTTTACTGCGAATTTGAGACAGAACAGAATTTGTATGAGAAAGTTAAGGCAATTAGCGGTTTTTAGGTGTCATTTTTAAAGAATATTTGAGGTTTTTGACGGAGTCGATTGGATGCGAATTTAAAATAAAAGTATAAAGATGACATCTTTGATGGGCAGGTTATACGTCGTAGATGAAAGAACGTGTCTTATGGACCCGGCCCGGCCCCCTCTCCACCCCCCCCCCCCCCCCCCCCCCCCCCCCCCCCCCCCCCACCCGGGATCAGAATGACCGCATGCGCGTTCCTAAAATGTCCGGTAAAGGGGTACTTTTCACGCACCAAAGTCCGGCTCGTACATACACAAAATTGATTTTACACACCGGACTTAGGGGTGTTTTCAACAGTGGCGGATCCAGGGGGGCCCGGGGGGCCCGGGCCCCCCCCCCCCCCTTGAGAAAAAAATCATGTAAAATCACGTGATTTTTACCTTTTTTGGGGGTTGGGCCCCCCCCCCCTGGCGCTCAAGGGGGGGGTGCAAATTGAAATTTTTTTGAGGATCAAAAAAAAAAAATGTGCTCACTACCCCCCCCCCCCCCCCCCCCCCCCCCCCCCCCCCCCCCCCCCCCCCACTGAGCGAATTTTTGGCCGGCGCGTTTTTCAAATTTTCGGAGCAAAAAAAAAAAAAAAAAAAAAAAAAAAAAAATTGTGCTCTGTACCCACCTCCACCTCCCCCCCCCCACTGAGCGACTTTTCGGCCGGCGCGATTTTCAAATTTTCGGGAGCAAAAAAAAAAAAGTTGGGCCCCCTCCCCTAAGAAATCCTGGATCCGCGCCTGGTTTTCAAAAGGTGGGAACATGCATATGCGTACCCGAAATAACACTGAGTGGGGAGCGGGCTTATGGACTATCTAGAGGGATTTGTTAGAAGTCTGTATCATCAAGGATAGTGGAGATACGAAGCGGGAAGAAAGGAAGTTCCTAAAACGGACAAGAAAGGGACAACATTGTCCCTGGACAGTCACACAAGTACATGAGTGATTTCCAAAAACGAAGAATCAGATGACCTAGATTGGATGACGGAGAATACGCAATTGAAATTTGAAAGGACCTGGATAGGAAACACAAGCAGTTCGTGCAAAACGAATGAGATTTTTGGCATGAGATAAAACGCGAACTGAAAATCACCAAAGGGAAAAGTGAACGAAACAGATGAGAAACCGTCGATATGAAGAAGGAGAAAGAGAGGCCTGAGGATATTCCAAATGAAGGACAAAGAAACATCGCTGCTAGTTCATAAGCTGGAAAGTGCGGGGTATTATGGTTAAAGGTTAAAGAGGAGATAAACGAAAAGAGAAGTATAGAAAGAAAAAGATATACATGTAGTTTTAAAGAAGTAAGACTACAGTGGAGACAGAAAGAGAGAGAGAGAGACTTTTGCAGGAAAAAATGAAGGGATGGTTCTCCCATAACAAAGCATGTCGGGAGGAGAATAATGAATAAAACCCTTTCACATTCATGGCAATACATTGCATATTTGTGGAGTCATACAAAGGTTTCTAAGCGCTTTCTGTGTATTTATATGTGTTTAAGTACAGGCATGCAGTCCGGCTTCGCAGACAAACTGCATGATATCACAATATAATTATTATTTTGTATACCCAAGGAGGGCCCCATCAGTCTCAACGATATTTATTCCGAGAACCAGGATCCAATTACTATTACCCCAGGTATCGCTAGGTACAGATGTACACTTGGGTGGGGAGCAGCGAATATGGATTAGTGTCTTTCCAAAAGATGTTAGTGCCTGGATGGCCTTCGAACCCTCCGCCTTTGGATTGATAGGCATTGATGAACCACTGTACAATGATACCTGATGCATAGCTGTCACCGAATCCGTCACTATAAACATACCTGGAGGTGGAGGAGCAGCTATCCGTCGCCGTCGCCGTCCCAAGAATGCCTCTGAAACCAAGATAAATACGAAATAATTAATATTTATTTTCATAGCATAATTGTAATTCAACCCATTCAGGAAGAAGTGGGAAAAGACCACTGGGTTATAGTTACGTAAGTCGATTTTATATGAGTTGTTGTTCTTCTTGCATACATGTGATAATCTTCAACTCTGCTGTTTTCATTCATCGTTTTCTTTATGTTGTATTTGCCGAATAAACAATAATAACACCAATATAATAGGGGTGGATTTACAGTTAAAAGCGCCCCCTCCGGCAAGCTGTGACATGCCGATTGTTTAGGTTGCTGGAGACCGTAATACTCGAAACCGTCATAAGTCGAAGTTCGTGGACATCCCATAGAAACGCGTGTTAATTCTATTATACAAGTTTCAACAGGATTATTTATTTATTTATTCATTTATTTATTCAAGTTTTATTTAAAATAGAGGGTAGGTACATTCAGTTTACCAAAACTGCTTTCCAAGTACGCCCTCTATGGACAAAGGATGTCCATGAACTTGTGGCGGTTCCGACTAACGACCCCCTGGTCGACGTCTTTCAAATAGTGCATCGCAGCAAAACGGCTAGCCTGTGATCGAAATGACCAAAGTGGTCCGAACTGCGTAAATATATTCAATGGGATTGATATTTCTGATATCAGCGCACATATTTTGGTTCGGTTATTAAGATCACTGATTTAATAACCCGCTCTTACCTTCGTAACTCCCCCTAATGCCAATGTTTAATGTGATTTGAGATGAAGGAAAAAGTGATGTTTAGTTCTCTTTGCACAAAATCCATGTTCTCATTTGATTTAATGCCATTAGTCATAGTAGCTGAACAAGATATCAAACACCATCATCATTACCGTGTTATATTTTTTTTTATAAATGTATGCAAGACAACGTCAACATCACAACGGAATCGGATGCAGAAAGTGATAAATTAAAGGGGTTTGACCGTATCCGTACTAATTTAAAAAAATCATTGTAATTTGGAGTCTGAACAAACGGATTGTATTGATACCATCATATCATACCTGTAGCAGGGAATTTTAAATCAAACGTATTGATGTTCCTTTTTATTTAATTGATTGACAAATGATTGGAACATAATTCCTTATAATACCGTAACCGTGTAACGGCGGGATGTAATCTGTTCAACTTAATACTGTGAAAACCCGCACTGAACATCGATATACATGAGAACAATGGTATCTAAGTTGACAAACTCTCTATGAATGTATATGAGGATTCCGCCATATAACAGGCAGGGGCAGCGTTTCCAGGGGACGGGGGACACGTCCCCACCCCTACCCCCTCTCAATTTGTTAAGGGGAGATCCTCCCCCCTCCCCCCTCCCCGGGAAATTTGAAAAAGTGCAAATAAAAAATGTATAGCAAATACTGACCAAAGACTGCAACACGCTCTGGGGGGGGGGGGGCAAGAGTGCAGCTTTTAGACTAATACAAATTCAAAAATCTTCTCGCTCGGTCGCTACGCTCCTTCGCATAATATCCTTCAAAATGTACAAGTAAATAGTGTATAAAATCTGTATTTCGTTGGTATCACGCCAGCACAGTCTGCACTGTGTGTTTCCCTACTAAATCTTTACAACCCTTGGACTGCACACTAATACCTGCAAAGTAAAAGGGAAGTGTGAAAAAGGAAATTGCTTGTTTTTTATAGTTTTGCTAAGGAATGTAATTTTTAATACAACAACACTTCAAAAACCTGTGAGGGTGTAGTCACTTCCGTCACCTTCGCCACTGTTCTTCACTATGCTCCCTCGTCTCTCGCATTTCGCATATGTTTCAGCTCTACCCCCCCCCCCCCCCCCCTCATCACAAAATCCTGCACTCGCGCATGACTGACAGTGGAGACCTCATTACTATTGTAATGCATCTGTAAGCCATATCTCACAGGTCAATGCGTATAGTCAACATATAACAAATAACGAATCCGGTGTGCCCTTTTGGTTCTGGTTGATTGGTTCTATTTTCCGCCATTCATCCTTCAACTTTACGGAGTATCTAGGCTATCGCACTATCTTGGAATACACCACAAAATCTATCAAACAATGTCCTCCGCCCACATATGCGAGTCGAGTTATATGGAAAAATGGCACAACCCTTAAACAATTGCGACACATTTCGGTAGTGTTTGACGTCAGAAATATTATGCCAAAAGTATAAGAAAATCGTACCTCCAGAAAGTGGATAAATTATTAAATGTCGTCTAAGCTGGCCACCAGAAGGCTTACATAAAAATAGCCATAAATCAGGAAATATCCACCCTAACTTTAATAAAATGTGTTATGGCCTTAAGAAATCCCGGAATTCCAAATGCCGCCAATCTCCTTAAAAGTAAGTGGCTAAATGTACTTATTAACACTAAATGTATATTTTGTTATATTCTTGCTATCCCAGATGGCTGCCATGAATTAACTTTAGGGACTTAAATCAGGTAATATTCATTCTAAAGATGTAATATACAGGATTTAGGGGTCGATAAATCCATTAAGCCGACTCTAAATGTGTTTTGGCAGTCAGGAAATCTGGCAATCCAAGATGGCGTCCAAAATGGCTGCCAAATTTCTAATATGACCAGATTTGGGTTAGAATCTATATTATTGAACATGTTATTGTCAATTTGATAGTGTATTTGAGTAGTATAAGGATGTTCGATCGTACATGAAAAAGTATCACTACGTATCGTTGTAGCCATATGTACTATCCTATAGGCTACCAGGTTTCGGCATCTATACAAATAAGAAGTGTCGATAATTTTATCTGCAAGACGGCAGGTCAGATGAACGCCACCTTACCATCCAATATGGCCTGTACCATCTAACATTATTAGTGAATCTTGATCCCTCCACACCAAGTCTTTGGTGTTCGCGGTTTGGGGCGGAGGTGGAAGTAAATCCACTAAATTGAATAGTAATAAATTGTCCTTTAGCAGACAAGAATCATAGCGATCTGACAATGAGTTCCTATTCTCATTAGACTTTTTGATATACAGTGCGTCCCAGAAAGAAAAAAAATAAACCGAGAATTATGGATGTATTATCATAACTTAGTCACAATTATAATTAATAAATGACACACATTTGTAAAGCTTAGATCCTCCTCTTTCATGTGATGTAACTCATATGATGAATACTTCACGCATGAGTGATTGAAAACAATTTGAAGGGAGGAAACCAAAACAATATTTGGCGGGCGGTATCTGAATTTCAAAGAGAAAATCAAATTTCTAGAAAGTTCAATTTCTGCCCTTTAATATGACACCTCAATTAAGAAAAATGAGCCAGGACTAAAAGGTTCTATTTGCTTAAAGCAATGCTTGCATTTCCATAATTTTATTAAACGATTTAATTTTCACTGGCTGCCTGCCGTAGCAACAAACAAAGTTGACAAAAGTCTTAACTCCGTTTTGTTGACGATCAGCCATGCACAAAGGAGACGAAAGATCCGATGCTTTAAAATTATGTGTCATTTATTAATTATAATTGTGATTAAGATATGATAAAACATCGATAAAATTTCGGTTTCGTTTTTTCTGGGACGCCCCGTATAGGCCTATTTGTAAACAAAGACTTGGCAGCCATATGGCAAGAGAAAGTATCTTATATAGTCGCTAATATAGTTTTCGTGATGGCATTTGTTATTCTAAAGTAGCTGTAAGTCAACACTGCTTACGTAAATGGTCCCACAACTTGACTAAATTTAACCATTTATCTTAATGAAAGGGATACAATATGGACCACTGTAGGGCCAACCACAACTAAGACTTATAGCTGCAAATTGCACGAAAAATATTCAAAATTATGTTCTAGGCCGTATCACTGCAGAGGTTTCATGATAATGTAAAAAAAAAAGTGAAAAGTTGATGAAATTCATTTTAAGGAGCATGCGATTCCCGTAAATAGTACTTTATCGAGTGGGTTGTAAATGATTTAAATATTTTTATTAATGAGCCTAGGCTACTGATGGAAGGAAAACATGAATTCACAGAACAGTTTTGAGTTATTCTTGTGTTGATAGCTATACAGGCTATTTAAGGTCTTGATAACAAATAAACTCTCATCCTGACAACAACAAAACATCTCAAATTTGAAAATAACTCACAGTAATTTTAACCTGGTGTGCACTTTGGACACATCTTGGTTTTCTTGGATTCCTGACCATCAGAACAATTTTTAATTGACTTGAATGAATTTCATCAAAATAAAGTAGCCCTACAAATGAGATGGATATTTAATTATTTCAGGCCAATGCAGGTGCTGACGGCTATCTTGGATGGCAAAATGGCAGCCATTTTTCTATATTATCTTGTATTTGTAAAGTAATACTAAATGATACTTGATCGTGCATTTATGAATATCTACCCTCAAATACACGTAATTATTTTTAATTCTAAACAGTGACTCAAATTTGAATAGTATAGAGTACCGAAGCTGTGACATTATACAAATCGTTTTGGGAATTTCTTAATTTTTTCTTCATTTTAATGTTATGAACCAGAACAATATAACCTATTTCCTATAGGAAATCTATTTATTCAGATGATCATGTTATAGCCCATACTTATTCAATTGGTTTTCGACATTGGGACATTATTTTCGATGCTCTTTCAGAAAATAAAGACAAAATTGAGAAATTCCAAGGATGTATAATGTATAGGTCTCAGTGGCCATCTAGGATTCCTAAATGGCTGCCACTGTAGTAAATATCTCGAATATAAAACTTCTCAAATAATTTGTAGCACTTTTACGGATATCATTGATTTCATAATTCTTTGGAATGTGATTTAAAATATATTATTTTCTATAATGTAAATAGTCACTTCCGGTCGTTTTCGGGAAAATGGTGAGTTATTTCGATGGTTATAATGATGATAACAAAAATGATGATCATCATAGTAGTAATGAAAATGATAACAATAATGATAACAATACCAATTATAAAGATAATAATGATGATGATAATAATAATAATCAGGC